CGTCACTGAGAAAGGTCAGCCAAGTACATATTCGGAAAGCATAAGGTTATTTACATGTACATAGAGCAATCCAGCCCAATACCGTCACTGAGAATGGTCAGCCAGGTATCTGACGGAAAGCATATATGTTGCATGATTACACCAGTCCTTGTTTAGTTATTCTTGGACATTCTAAGGAACTGGATCAAGAACATGCAACAGGATAGATCATTGCATAATTATGACATATGCTGCCTGAATATGCTTTACCCAGATCAGATCTCCATGGAACAGTGAGAGGAACTACATCATCTAGGTCTCAGCACCAGTAGTGAATTCCACCACAAGCCAAGTCTTCAATGTTGAAGTTTGACCTGTAAAAGGGACAAGCTACTTCTATCCTAGATGATGCGTCTGTATTGGTATATGCTCTTTGTCATCCCTGTGTACAGTCATGTTGTATAACTCTTCTGTCTAACGAGCTAGCTGGCGTACGTATGATAAAGCATCTTCCCAGCATCGAAAGAAGTACGAAAAGACTATTACTGCCAAGAAGTTCCTTACTATAGTTGTGCAGTAGCGCCGTTGTTTAGATGACAGGGTTAAACTAGCATAAGTGATAATTCTCTCTTCACTGTCTTGGATTGTATTCTGAGCTCTTACTGAAATTTCTTTATAATAAATACTAACCTCAAACTATTAAATTTATCTTACTTCTTACTAAAATCTCAAGTAATATATATATAAAGTACAGCTAAATGCTTACTTGTGAGATTTTAGTATTATAACCATGAAAGTTAATACTGCATGAACATATCTACACCACAAGTGCATTGAGCATTGCTGAGTGATTTATTGACTCGATCTGTTTAATAATGAGCTCAGGCAAAGAACATGTATATATATTTAAAGATATTCTGTACTTATAATGTGAGCAACAGTCAAGCAATACTCAAATACTGACTAGGGTGCAAATAAGTTTCTTAAAACCTATTAAATGTTATGCATTTATACACTATTTCCATCTACAAACTACACTATTTCCCCTCCCTTTTATTTTTAAATGAAGGAAGAAGTAGTAATAGCTAGCTGTTCTTATTGATGTAGGAATACTAGAGCTTATCTAAATGTAGTTCGTGCATATATAATTAGCTATATTGGTGTATTGACTATTGTACACAAATTACTAAAGTACTATAATTGTGTAGGCAAGTCTATAAGCAATTCCGCTAAATAATAACTAAACAGTGCTGCAAGTTATAGTTGTAATATTAATCACTTATGTTGGTAATGTTAGTAAGCTAAGTATAATGATCCACTTACTAGATATCTAATCTGATTATATATATGATATAAGAACTAAAATACTGTAGGTAAGTTAGTCAACTACCAACTACTACCAGTTGAGAGTTAACTACCAGTTCTTGTTTAAATGTTAGTAGCTTGAATAAATTTGAGTTGCATTAGATTAGACTGTACAATAAAACTAATATTATTAACACTACAGTCTACTGACCTAATACTAAGTACTAGAATATATACTAAAATGATAAGATAACTACACTTATTTGATATAAATCTTAAATAATGCTTAATTTTTCTAATTTACTTATATCAAAACCAACACACGAAGTATAGTAGAATTATGGTATATAACTCGATAAACACTGGGTATAAGCATTTCAGGTTTATTTAAGCAAATGATCTAAGTTAATGTGATGGGCCATGGTACAACCCAGCACTTGTTCTCGAGTGGCAGCCCAGATGAAAAACACAGCCCACAGTAAACATACTGGAAGGCACAAACAAGGTATTCTCTGCAAGTAAAATGCAGGTCCTTGTTGGCAGCATTCCGAGTAAACTTGGTTGTGCCATCTGAGTTGTCACTTTTAGTGGTGGTTCTAAAATACACAGCTGGAGCTGGGACAGACACTGTATCAATGGAGTCACTGGAGAAGCTATCAGGGTATGATTCTTCTTCACCAGTCTCTTCCATAGATATGGGCTCCTCTTCCTGAACTGGTGGTGTAAGGGATTCAGAGGTAGCCACATCTGTCTCATCTGTACCAAGCTCTTCACAGGAGGACATCTGTATATTGCTGGATGCCAGAGCATTTACAACAGACTTGTTGCTATGCTCAGGCAACAGATCACTCCTAGGAGGCTGTGTATCCAAAGTCAAATCCGGGAATGGTTAGCAGTTGGATGTTATGTCAGAATCTGGATTTAAATGGCAACCAGCAGTTGAATGCTCACTACTCAGTAGCCATAACTCAGATGGACTGCCTTCAGGAACATCTTTGTCCTCTATGTCTGGAGTTAAATGGCAACCAGCAGTTGAATACTCACTACTCGGTAGCCATAACTCAGACTCACTGCCATCTGTCTCATCTCTGTCCTGTATGTCTGTGTGTGGAATTCCAGGAACTTGGGGATCACCATGTGACACCATGGTATTCCACTGCATACTAGCAGGTGATATATCACCACTCCGTATTTGTGGAAACCCTGGTGGACTCTTGCAGGTAACTGTGGGCATCTGCTGCTGCTGGTGCACTGCTGCAGTAAATGTTGGCTGCTGTTGATGATGGTACACTGCTGTAGGTAGGACAGATTCACAGCTGCTAGCATCCCCAGGCCTCACTGGTGCTGAAAGTTCCTGGTCCTGGGCATTGTCTGGTATAATATTGGTTGACATAGCAGGGCATTGTGCAGCTACCCCATCCTGTGAGTTTGCCAATGGTGGTGGCATTGGTGGTCCTCCATACATGCATGGCTGTGGGTATTGCTGTTGAGGTACCATGTATCCAGGTGGAAACATTCCAGGACATGGGCCATATGCATAGGGTATGCTGGGATATGGCTGTGGTGGTCCAAAGAATGGCTGTGGGAATGGTCTACCATATCCAGGAAATGGTACTGGATAGCTCCCAGGGACTGCTACACAAGGAGTTGGATACCCGTATGGATTAAAAGATGGCAGGTATGGTCCACCATAGAATCCAGGAGGTGCTGTACAAGGTGTCATTGCTGGATTCATCTTGTTGCTTAATTTTCAGTAGTTCAAAGTTACGGAAATTATCACGCCGTTTGATACTACTGAAACAGTCAGTCGGAGAATGTGTGTATAGGCCTATTTATTGCTGTACGTTGCGCTATTTCCAAGTCACGGTATTAACGAAACCGCCGGTGAAAATATTACACACTAATATGTTAGGCAATATGTTACCGATTCGCAACAAGATCCGTGTAATCGCCGTGATCTGAATTAAACGTAACTTATAAAGCCGGTTTAATTCATCGATATAGTCCAGATAATTTTACTTTACTGCCTCTATCTTTTCTCTCTATCTTCTTCTGTCTATCTTGATACGATGTTGTTTTCTATCTTTATTGTAGCTTATTGTTGAATTAAACGTTACTTTGACACAATAAATAATTGTATTTAAGCCAATTTAATTCAACACTAAAGTTTCTGGTGATTGAGTTAGACGTTTCTCTTTTCTGTCTATCCTTTTCTTTCTATCTGTATATCGGTAGTAAAATAGCGTTTCCTTTATCTTTGCTTTTATTTGATAATTCTGTATTGGTCCAAAATATTAATTCTGTTGTCTATCTCTTAATTAATTACTTAATCTGTAAATTAACTTGCTTAATAAATTACCGCACTGACTCTTACAACGTTAATGTAAACGCCCGATGGCAGACGGCGGTAGCAGTAAGCACTGATGTTAATAAAATAAATACCTGATAAACTAATTAATCAAAGAATATAATCAATTAATGACGTTATCTGAATTGATTATATTTTTGCAAAGATATTCACTGTTGTTGCACAGAGCTAATATGTAAAAACGTAACTCTACAAAATCAGTTCACTGTTGTTCAAGGCGAGCACGTGCGCTTTGATCTATATATAGCTAAAACAGGTAAACTAGCTCCGTGAAACTACATATACATAAAACTAACAAAAACACTATATCTTTCTACTTTCCCCCAAAATATTTTTTAAGGAACTTAGAGAGAAAAAGCAACAATATATAAATATTCTATATCCAAATTAAATTACGAGTCGAGAAGAAAACGGCACTCCTCGAAAATTGTCAACACGAGTGACAATAACTTTTCAGTATAAAAAAAAAAAAACTAATTGTCTCGTGCAAAAGGATAAATTATACAAACAATTAATTTCAGAATAAAAATCAATCGTTGTGGCACAAGTGGCCGAAATTGAATGAACTAAGAAGAAAAAATAATGCAATTTGCACAAGACAATGATTGAATGAAAATATTCTAAATTTTCGTACTGACGTTTACAAAAACGCCCTTACGATATTGTACACTAAGTAGTAATGAAAATATTCAAAATTTTCGCACTAACGTTTACAAAAAACGTTGTACGATAAGTATAATACTAAATATTAATGAAAAACGAAAATACAAAAATAATTGGACCGTGATATCACCACGTGTTCAAATGCAACTCACGTGTGAAAAAATAATGTGGCAAATTAGTCAAATTGTTGGAACTTTGCAAATAACGTTAACTTAAACGCCTGTAAGCAACAGTTTTCTAAAATGACTTAATGCAAAACATTCCACATGAGTGTTTATACTCACGAGTGACAGACAATTCACACGTGAATTTTGTAAATAAAAACATGAAAATTCAATGCACCCCGCACCGAATTACCGGCGACGCCAATGTAGTAAAATATATAGACATATTTTACTATGTAAGAATGTCGCCTACCTTCAAGTAAGTACAACTAAGGTGACGACGGTTAACCAAATTCTACATGGTGAATACGGTACAGGTACAACAAACAAGTCAAGGAATAGGTAACACACACACGTGGTGACTGGTTTGAGGACTGGACTGAACTGACGAGGGGAAGCATGCTGGCCAGCACGGGTGGATGGCTATGAGGTCAGGGTGAAAGGTCATAGGGAATACATTTACATACACAATTTCACTACAGGCCTGAGAAACAATTGATTAATTTTTTTGGGGCCTAAAGCCCTAAACATTGGTTAAAATGTGAAGCCTAACAGGACATGCAGGATTTGGAGAATCAACGTTGATAGTAATTTTATATTTTTACAGGATTATGGGAGAAGAAATTTGCTTAACAGCCTTAACACTACCCACCAAACTTACTGACAATCTTTATATATATCAGAAGAACAGAATCCTATGTGACTTTTGTATACAGTGCAGTGATGGAGAAGTTTACGCCCATAAAATCATCCTTGCCATGTGGGGAATGCATGGATTCTACATTGACACCATTGACACAATTCAGGCTTTAAATTTCTCAACTGCAGATTTTAATAATTTTATGGAGTTCATTTATTCAGGGAATAGTTCATTAAATTTAGATGCAGCAATTAGAGTTGCTCAGATCGGAAAACTCCTAGGTATTCAGTTTCATCGTATCTCAAGCTCTCTCACTCAACATGATTCTTTAGAATCAATTTTGTTTGTCCTTAAATCCGCCTCTGAATCAAGTGTAGAACGCAATGAGAAATACACCCTCTACATTAAATCAATGCCTGATTATCAAAGGAATTTTTCTACCACAACAAATGTTAGATGTAGAGAGCCAAGTACATCCACACATTCAATGCCTGGTAACCATGGTAACAGTATTACAGACAAATGGGATAAAAACTTAGAGGAGTGTTTGCTTAGTCAGTCATCAGATGTCGGCTCTGACACACTGATTAATGATAACAAGTCAGCTGAATCTCCTACCACTGACAACAAAGTTGATGATACATCTGAATATGAAAAAGCAACAGGACATAGGGATTATTCTGACAAACCACTAGAGAAAGTATCGGTAATACAAGTAAAAACTGAAAACCTTGTTTGGCCAGAGTCAGAAAACACAGAGGTAAAAACAGAACAGGAAGATTGTGCCATGGAGTCTGGATCTGAGAGTGTAGAAACATCGAGAGCTGCTGAAAATAATACAGTGGGAGAATGGAGTGTAGAAACATCGAAAACTGCTGACATTTCAGACAATAATTCAGTGGGAGAGGGGAGTGAATTTCATACAGAGGGCCAGAATAACATATCTGAAAGAAAAAAGAGTCCGTTTGACATAAAGGATACTGGACAGAAGAAAACTGAAGCACAGGAGGGAGAGTGGGTAGTAAAGGAATGTAGACATTGTCTGAAACAGAACCGGAAACCTTTTATCTACGCTACAACAACAAAGGGGCGAGAAAAGTATAACAGGCATGCTATACGGTTCCATCCCTCAGCTTATATTCGAAATGTAAACTGTGAAATCTGTGAAGCATCTTGGAGACGGTGCCAGGCGGATGTATATATGGAACATATAGTGAAGACACATGGTGTAGAATATGACTCGACTGTCTACCAAAAGAAAACATGTGATTTCGATGTATGTTATCTGTATTACTATATTTTATGTTTGATTAATTCTTATTTTTATCAGATAACCAGATTTATTTGAATGAGATCTGGATTTCAGTGATATATTGATTATGTACTTTATATTCTTTGTTTCAGTGTAACCCTTGTATTTTGTGTTGTAGAATTGTGAATACTGGACTGTGTGTGAATCTAAATTCTTAACTCATCAAAAAAATGTGCATTATGGGAAACTTAGCGTCTGTGATGTGTGTGGAGAGGCATTCAAAGACATCAAATCACACAAAGAGACCCATAAGGACAGGCCCAAAATTCCGTGTGAAATCTGCGGGAACACCTTCGTCAACCAGACTTCTGTCAAGGTCTTTATTAATTGATTTACTGGTAACTCTTTGAATTTTTCATGTATTCATGTAAATAAAGATATGAAGTGGATTTGAAAACAAATACCATTCTGATCAAAACATGCAAAGTGAATGTGTACCCAAAATGTGGGCTTCAAATTTTAGCAGCTTTGCCATGGACAACAATGCGCTCATTGATAAATGATGGTAAAATTCAAATTGTTCATGAATATGATACACAGTACAGAGGTGTGTATTGCTAGTTTGTGATTGCACCAACCACCCCAATATTCAATGATTACACTAAATTTTGAATGTGTTAATTTTTGTACACTTAAAGTAAATAGGAGTTTGTAATTATTATATTTAAGGAATAACTCTTATTTTTCGATTTCATGATGTGATCAATTGATTGGCTTGCGTGATAAATTGCATAAACGCCAAAGGCGTTAATGCATTAAATTATCACACCAGCCAATCGATTCATCATCGTCATGAAATCGAAAAATCTGACAGTTATTCCTTATATTTACATGGTATTGATTCCGCCAATCCACGTGCTAGAAGTCCCGCTTCTTGTCTCTTTTTGTCCTGCCCTGCACATGCTTTTTTTCAACTGCACCTATCTATGAATCAGTATACTAGTATTGATGTAGAAATGAAGTACATTAAAATTATACGCAATGTAGTTTGAACTTAATTGGGTTCTTCTCTGGAGTTGAAGAGTTCCACTAAATGAAGGACCTGTGTGCAATACTTTTAATGTCTCTATAAGATTTGTAAACCTTTTCTTGATCAAATTTTGATGGAAAAAATATCAGGAATTTATGTTTCGTACTTTTTGTACATTTTTCTTTGAATAATGCAATAATTTTCATAATTTGATATCTTTTGAAACCCCCTAACTAGGAACTTGTAATATTATCATAAGTTTAAATTCAATATATCTTGAAAATTATCAGTAGGTAAGGTACCTTGTGTATGTCCTTAACTGTTTGTAATTTTATCTTGAACAAAGACATTGGAAATGTGCTGCTTTGTCATCGATATGATTCTTTGCAGAATCATATTGAAAGAGTGCATGAAAAGAAATACAAGTCAGCAGGATTCTGCAAGTATTGTAATCAGAACTTCAAAGAGCGGTACAAATATTTCAAACATATGTTTACAGAGCACAAAGAGATTCCAAAAGGTATGAAGAGGTAAGTCTCAGGTAGCCTTTTAGTGTTCATTGCTAAATATCCTGTCTCATGTCCAGTCTTAAGGTTTTCCATCCCTAATAGGACCTAATTCTCTATCAAATATCTGTCATGTATATAATACACAGATATTCAAAGCATTTTACAGTAGAAAAGGATTTACCAAGGGAAAGTTTTAAAAATTTAATTTACTAAGCAGTAATTAATGAACAGAAATTGCATTGAAGTCTATGGAGACAATCAATATTTTAGAAAGAAAATGAAAATAATAAGAATTTCAATAAATGAAAGATACATTAAATCATTAGAAATAGAATGACAATTGAAATTTTATTTTCATACAAAAATATATTAAAAATCTTATTTTTTTGTGGAAGTTATGGAAACATTGAATATCTAAATGTGTTCGATAGACACATACCTGCACAATTTTTAACTCAAGCAAGCTTTTCTGATTGCCTATTGTCCATCTGTAAACTTTTCACATTTTCAACTTCTTCTCCGGAACCACAAGGCCAGTTTTAACTGAACTTGGTACAAGGTATCTTTGGGTGGAGGGGAATTTAAATTGTGAAAATAAAGTGCCAAGTCTTCTTACACTAGGAGATAATCAAGAAAAGACAGAAATAGGCAAAAAAAGAGTGGGATCATTAAAAAATCTTCATTTCAAGAACATCTGGTCCAGAAAAGCTGAAACTTAATAGAAAGCATCCTGGGATAGTGTAGATTCTAAATTGTTCAAATCATGACCCCAGGGGATAAAGTGGGCCACAATAGGGATTTCAAGTTTTACATTGAAATATGTCAGAACAATTTTTCAAAATTTTTTCAAGAACCACTTGGCCAGAGTAGCTGAAACTTAAGCGGAAGCATCATGTGATAGTGTAGATTTTAAATTGTTCAAATCATGACCCCCAAGAGTAGGGTAAAGCCACAATAGGGAATCCAAGTTTTACATCGAAATATATAAGAAACAACTTTTAAAGTCTTCTTCTTAAGAACCTCTGGGACAGAAAAGCTGAAACTTATGTGGAATCATCCTTGTGTAGTGTAGATTATAAATTGTTCAAATCAAGACCCACTGGGGTTTGGAGGGGCTACATTAGGTATAACAAGGGGGAAATCTGGTAAAAAAACAGCATTTCAAAAGTTACTCATGTTAACGATGTGGCCCATAGGCCTCTTGTTTCATTCTGAGTTTGAAGAATGCAACAAGTTATTTTAAACTTAACCTGAGTTGATATTAAATAATTTGACCTATGTTCATTTATCACTTCTCAATCAAAACTCTAACTCATGTGAAGTTTTTATTTTTTGTCATGTTGTAGGTATCAGTGTTCCGAGTGTGACTTCGTGACTTACCAGATGAGTCTGTTGAAAACTCACGAGTTGAGACACAAAGAGCTAAAAGGTATCGTATAAAATGTAGTTAACATTATAGACAAAGGTCAAATGCCGATTTATTTAATGAAAAGCTGTAACTATATTTCTGTACTGTCACTTTTTTGGGTGAAGGGATGGGGGATACATTCTCATTAAGGTCAGATGAAACGTTCCTCAAAAATATATAATTTTTCTTAAGAATTTGGCATTGTAGCAATCTAATTAAAATTAGATGTTAGATCCGCTAGTATGCGAGCGGATCTAGCATCTAATTTTAATTAGATTGGCATTGTAGTATAGGTACTTAAACAAGTTTCCTCACAAAAATTAGGGTACCTTACCAGGCATTTGGCCAAGATACCATATGGTCATATTTCTTGTATAACCCTTATGGGTAATTTTCTAAATGGCCTATAACACAAATTTTGGTACATTTACATGTATACTTAAAACATTTTTTTAAAAATGTAGAAATCAGAAGATAATGACAAATGTGAATAATATTTGATATAATACCAAAAGATACAAACATATTTTTGAGGAATGTGTCGTCTGACACATTGTGATATTCCTTGGTGATGAATCATAAGAATAAATTTTTTCTGTCACATTGTAATCTTTAACCACATTTTCTATGCTGATGAATTCTCTTTATCACTTTTTCTGTGGTGATGAATTCTCTTGTCACTTTTTCTGTGGTGGTGAATTCTCCTATCACTTTTTCTGTGGTGGTAAATTCTCATATCACTTTTTCTGTGGTGATGAATTCTCCTATCGCTTTTTCTGTGGTGATGAATTCTCTTGTCACATTTTCTTTGGTGATGAATTCTCTTGTCACATTTTCTTTGGTGATGAATTCTCTTATCACTTTTTCTGTGGTATTAATTCTCATGTCACTTTTTCTGTGGTGGTGAATTCTCATATCACTTTTTCTGTGGTGGTGAATTCTCATATCACTGTTTCTGTGGTGATGAATTCTCATATCACTTTTTCTGAGGTGATGAATTCTCTGGTCACTTTTTCTGTGGTGATGAATTCTCTTGTCCCTTTTTCTGTGGTGATGAATTGTCTTTATCACTTTTTCTGTGATTTATCTGCAACTCCTCTTATACCATTGAATGAAATTTGATGAGACTTTCACAGAATCTTTATTACATATTGCCAATGTGCACCTCCTATTTTACTTTTTGATCCGACACATATTTTGGGTTTCGCGGCCACAGCAAAACATGGACTTTGCCATTATAACTATATGGGCGGTTGGGGCTATCATATAGTGAGCTCATATCTCACAGTACCTTTAGTTTCTTAAAATTTGTAAAGAAAACAGAATTTTTCAAATTTAATAATGATACTGTCTTTTTTATGATTTAAGTTTTTTTTTGTCTTTATAGGATTGGAAATTGAACGAAACCACAAATGTAATGTGTGCGAAAAAGCATTTCTTACCAAAGCTGGTTGCCGGTACCACGTTCAGCGACTTCATGGTAATAATTTAATTAAGAATATGTCTTTCTTTGCAAAAGTACTGTAAGTAACTCTACACTTGGGGAATTTGTATTAGGATTTCTTACAAGGTATTTCTTACATGTAAATACCGTATAATCCCTATTAACTGCCCTGGGCGCTTAGAAAACTGTGAAAAGGGGGCTGCTACTTTGGTATTCTCTTTACAATATTTAATATATCATATCTTAGCTTTAAAAGATATTTTGAATAAAATAAATAAATTCTAAGAATCTCCAAAATAATGTTTAACTTTACTTTAAATGAAAAAATCCACCCGAATTTATGCTTAAAGAATCATTTTCCACCAAGAAATTGGATAATGAACAAGTTTTATTTTCATTTCCTTCAAATTTTTGCAGACATTTGATACGATTCTAGATAATTTTAATCAGTGCACTTATTTCCTGACAATTGAAAAAAACCTAAGGGGGCACTTATAGGGGCAGGGGCAGTAAATAGGGATTATACGGTATTGGAGATTAGAATTGTTCAGATATGTCATGTAGCAAAATGTCTGTGAAACTCAAAGATAAATGTCATGTATTCTTCAGTATATATTTACTGTTAGATAAATATTTTATTAACAATGTTAATAGACAAAAATTAAGGAAGGGGGGCCAGTTAAACTAAAGTGTAAACAATGTGGAAGTAGCATGTTGAGGTTGAAGTTAAAATTTACATTCAACCTTGATAATGTCCTTTATATATTTCAGTCACACAAGCCTATCTACAATGTCACTATGAAGGTTGTACTAAAGTGTTTCGGAGAAAACCAAGTTTAGAGAAACATATCAGAAGTATCCATGAGGTAATCATATTAAAACACACAAAGGAACACACTTCCACTCAAACACAGAGGTGAATGTTACCTCAAACTTTTATATATCTCTCAAATACCATAGATATATCAAGTAGGGTCCATTAAATTACTTTTTTCGGTTTTTCCAGTCCTATTTGGTTTGAGATAATGGAGTTTCATTGTATTAAAGATATAGTCAAACTTGTCTTAGCAACCTCCTGTATTTTACGACTTCCTGTCATATGCAGTTGTAAAATTTCCCCCCAAGAATTTCATTATATTTTGCAATGATTCAGCACTTTCATTTTCTATCAAAAGGCAGTTTAAATCCCTGAATTTAGAGACTTTTAGCCCTAATCTCTGCTAAGGCAGTGATACATGCTTATTTTTTGCCCATTCCTCAAGTTTATTAAAAGATAGTTGGTAAAAACTTACACTTGAGGCCGGAATTAAAAATATCTTAGTTTCCCCCAGGTTGGGTCGGTAGGTAGGTAAACAATTTTATTTTTTGACAGCATATTTGAAAATACATTCTAAAATTTAAGGGAAAATTACCTTTA